CATGTGTCAGACACGCCTGTTATGGTTATGGTGACAGCTATGGTAATTCCATTTAAAATACAACTATGACGGCATCTGTGTGGCTGCGTCATCACTCCCACGTGCATTAGAAGAATAACGTGTTTTTGAGCATAGAAACTTTCACGGTGTCACAGTAAACTGACACATGCAACATCATTGAATTTATAAACTTTACTTTTGTTGTCTACATAAGGCCTGACAATGCTGACCTCCGCTCTGGCGACAATATATGTACATCCGTAAAGTGTACTTCCGCCAACAAAAAAATCACCTCACCATGCTTTGGCTTGTTTTTCACAAGTAAATACTTTCTGCAGGTTAGGATGCTATACCAGGCTAAGCATTTCAAGCTATCTGCTGTTTCTAAAATCTTTGTTCCAATTTGGGAGTTCCCCTTTCTCCTCGCTTGTTATCGTCGAACAGGTCACGGGTCACTTCCCTTGTTATGACGGGACACTTGACTAGAGTGACCTATGACCTGTACGTCAGGGTCTCCCCTTTTCCCTGTTCAAGGTGTATATGCCTTGTGTTTCCCGTGACCTCTCTGGCTCACCACTAAACCTAAATCTGCTATTTCTAGTCATTCCGCCATTAACCTGCAGTATATGGAGAGAACATTGATCTGCCAATATAGTACTGTGTATATTGCTAAGGTGCTTATCCATCTGCGCTAGTCCAACCAGTTGACGGAATATGTCCAGGAATATTACTACGAACGCGCCTTTGAGGGGTCGATAACATTTCTGCAATGGGCTTCCGCGAAAACGTATCCGAGAATCCCTCAAGCACATGACAACCACGGCCTCTGCGCGCCACCGGGAGAACACCCACGCACTGTGCCGTTAACAACGGTACTTCCTTTCGTCGAGAAGAGCACAAATAACTCTTGTTTTGATTCAAGAAACAATGTGAGCGGCACTCACATTCCCGCTTAGATGAATGGAAAACATCATAAGCTCGGCATGCAACGCGCAGCCTTCCTGTGGGATAACGAAGACTCAGAAGTAAGTAGGAGAAGTTCGCCCCAAACGACAAGACTCTAGCGTGAGCAGCAGGGAGGAAGGATTCCGCGTGACTCCCTTCATTTTCTAAGTCTTATGGTTACCTATAACAGCATGCCAAATGTCGGTGGAAGCACTGCCGCTGGTACGCGAAACATTTACACGCATGTTACATTAGAGAGATGTTTGAAGCCAAACTATGATGAAAAGTAATATGTACAACCCTGACGCTAGCTTGAAGATACAATCCTCCGAATGGAGGCTCTTGACTATAACTGTAAGCTTAAAACCTGTCTTGTGCCATGCACACAATCAAACATGAATAAATATACACAGGAATATATGAGAAGTATACGCAGGAGGGAAGGAGAGAAGAAGGGAGAGAGAAGAAGAGAGGGAGAGGAGAGGGAGAAAGGGAGAGGAGAGGGAGAAAGGGAGAGGGGAGGAGAGAGAGAGAGGGGGAAAGGAGAGAGAGAGAGGGGAAGGAGAGAGAGAGAGAGAGAGAGAGAGAGAGAGAGAGAGAGAGAGAGAGAGAGAGAGAGAGAGAGAGAGAGAGAGAGAGAGAGAGAGAGAGAGAGAGAGAGAGAGAGAGAGAGAGGAGAGAGAGAGAGAGAGAGGGAGAGAGAGAGGAGAGAGAGAGAGAGAGAGAGAGAGAGAGAGAGAGAGAGAGAGAGAGAGAGAGAGAGAGAGAGAGAGAGAGAGAGAGAGAGAGAGAGAGAGAGAGAGAGAGAGAGAGAGAGAGAGAGAGAGAGAGAGAGAGAGAGAGAGAGAGAGAGAGAGAGAGAGAGAGAGAGAGAGAGAGAGAGAGAGAGAGAGAGAGAGAGAGAGAGAGAGAGAGAGAGAGAGAGAGAGAGAGAGAGAGAGAGAGAGAGAGAGAGAGAGAGAGAGAGAGAGAGAGAGAGAGAGAGAGAGAGAGAGAGAGAGAGAGAGAGAGAGAGAGAGAGAGAGAGAGAGAGAGAGAGAGAGAGAGAGAGAGAGAGAGAGAGAGAGAGAGAGAGAGAGAGAGAGAGAGAGAGAGAGAGACTGTTTTTTTTAATCCACCTACTCTTATCTCCATCGCCATATGGAGCTGTAAGGTATTTCCCTTATCCCTGCTAAAGGATAAGCCAGTACCTTCAACCTTCGACCTTGTCACGCGCCACGAAAGGCAAAACCGATAAATAACAAAGGGGAGTATAAACGAAGAAGAGAGTGAAGTGACAGCAGCAGAGAAAGAGGAAAATACACAGACGGAACTGGCAGCGAGTACCCCTTCTCTTGGTGCACAGTTCGCAGGTGTTCCATCTGCCTTACTAATTAATCAATCAGCTTTATGTGACTGACAAGTCGGATTTATGATAGCTCAATCACCCATTCACTCTCGCCGTCGAGGGGGTTATTGTCATCCTGTATTCTCGTCAACGAGGTTCCTTGTGGCTAATGATACCTGCGTCGTGGTCCGTCCTTATCGACTGCTGCAGAGGTATGAATTTAAGTTTCTCTCTTCATCTTACTCGCAGATAATGACAACATAAATGCGTACTGTGCGACCCTGGTGTTCCGTGGTGGCCGGGCTCCGGTGCGCTCAGGTGCGCCCGGCGGTGTCACCTGACGCACACCCGCGCGCCAAAACATTTAACCATAACTGCTTCCACCGCCGCGGGCTTCCTCTAAAAATAACATCCCGGCTAATGGCAGGAAACGTGCGTAAAAGTAGAGTGCTGTTATTCCCTTTAGATTACCAATATCATGCTCAATAATGAAGTGAAAGTACAGGAACATGAAAGCAATTGCGCTTCCCATTAACTAGTTAACAAAGTAGCGTCTTTCACCATAGGCGTTTCAGAGCGAAAATGGCCATATAAGCTTCACCTGCGCCCCATGGGGGAGAGCAGTCCACGTGAAATGATAGGTTACGCTGCCTTAAATACGAAACTATTTTTCTTTTCCTTGTATTAAGAAAATGACTTCCCCGAACACTGGTGTGACAATAGTATGGTGACACTGATGCCTGATATAATTTATATTTTCTTGTGTACACACTTTGTCATTATTAATCTTTTCGCACGGAGAAAATTAAACAATACATAAACTTTAGCAATCATTCACAAAACGTACTTTTAAAATTACCCAGACAGTGTAACCTCAATTATTCTATCAAAAATTCACAGTGTTGTCGAGCTCCGTAGATTAGCCTTTGCAAATGCCAGAAATACCGGAGAGGATAGAAAACGACGCAGCAAAGACGAGTCTTCAACTCTCTCCATCCCGATCGGCCGCAGCGGTGTGAGTGTACGCACGAGCCGAAAGTCCGTCCCTCGCTCTTCCCAGGAAAATACTTCCCTCTTCTCCCCTGACACATCACCTTTTCCGACGAGCAACTTACTCACTAATTACACTCCTAATTGGAATGCGGTCGCACTGCATTAACCAGACTGACGAGAAAATGAATGCCTAGGGAACCATTTTTCAGTCAACAATATCGACGGCACAACATCATCACACAGACTTCAAGCTGATGGCGTTGGTGGTGTTTATTTTGCTACATAACGAGTTTATCTTACCCGGGGCCGCACTTCCACTTTATTATGACCGCCATATCAGGAAAACCACATCTCTCACAATGCACCGCCTTTGGTTATGTCTGCTATGCTTTTACTGTAAACACGCCATCTCCACTCTGACGCTCACTATGCACAATCTTACCTTTTCTTGAGATGGCCTCACCGGTCTCGATGAACGAAATCTCAAAGATGTAACATGCCACTTCAATAACAAAAATTACAGAGTTATACATAACTTTATATGATATCCAATAATTCCATAACACTTGCAAATAGTTTGCCATACATATCAAAACTAGATCTCCCTATGTTTTTAAAGCTACGAACACGGGAGGTTTACAACTTGGCAAAAGGGGGATGTTCCAATAGAGAAATGAGCAAAAGGAGGAGACCAGAGATAGGATTTCGCATCTACAGAATGTATATCGGATTAAGGAAGAAGATTACCTAAGGTGCGGCTGAGTGTGAGAGGCAGTGCACCGGAGTGGATATGGTAATAGCATTTCCAGGCAGATATCCATAACATCCAGGGGCGAACCGAGCGAAAGTGGCGTTGGTGTCTATGGGAAGGAAGGAAAGAGCGCGGGAAGAGTGCGTTACCAGCGACTGACGCTTCTCACACATAATTCTCGAGCCAACAATTTACCCCTTTCGCTGTCACTCTACCGGATATGTAGCCGGCACTTGCTGGCACCCGTGTGCCTAGCCTGCCACTCTCGTACTCCTATACTTCCGCTTCCATACAAAGCGGTAATATCAGTCAAAATCGTAGCATTTTAAGACCGTCAAGTGATAGCAAGATCTGGGTTACATGTGCTTATTCATGAAAACAACACACTTCGTTACTCTATCCTGATGGAGTCTGTGTTCCAAAAAGATCAGACGCCATGACTTGTACCGAAAAAAAGAAAGAGGAAGAGGTGGAAAATAAAAGAAAGGGAAATCAAGAGGAGAAACACAGCGTATATACATGTGCACACACGCACGTACGCACGTACATACATACAAACCCACACACATACACATACCCCCACACACATACACATACCCCCACACACATACACACATACATACATACATACATACATACATACACAAACACACACACACACACACACACACACACACACACACACACACACACACACACACACACACACACACACACAAAGGCTCACACACATACACACTTTAAAATCATTCCTCAGAACTTATTCGTTACAAACCTTGCCTCCAAAGACCATGGCATAAACATGCCTAGTCATAAAACATTTCCCAAGACACTGAAGAAAACAATTTCCATTCGCGATGCCTCTCACCGAACCTCAATAACCCAATATGTGTTTGAGTTTCATCCAAAGGTAAAATAAAATAACTAAAAACATAAGAAATGAGAAATAATAAATGAGTTGGCGAAAAAGCGCTGCACGGTTACCTCGAGTTCCTGTAGCGGCGTCTGCGATCTTCTGGAAGGCGTCGAGGAAGGCCGAGAGCGCTACCAGTGTCGACCTGAAGGGAGAGAAATTAGCACATTAATCAAAAATTCATTAAGTTACGAAGAACAAAAAAAAAAAAGTAAATGGAACAAAGTCAGCCAAAGTCATCAAAATGGGGAAAAAAAGTTAAGGATGAAACTTAGTTCAAACAAATCAGACTGAAGGTAGAAATCTTTTTAATCCCGATTCGAATAAACCTAATGGCATTCCTCCTCAACTTTCTTGACACGTCCATCTTGTCACTTATGGACACTGAACCACTGGAGCCTCATTAGCAAACTTTCGCAGACTTTTCTGGCTTTTGGGTTAGCTGTTGTGGCGGCGGGGGTGGCGATGGCGGTCGCAGTAAGCGTGAATGATGACTGCATCGTGGTGCTTCCATATTGCTTTCTTGCAGCGTTGCATGATATGGATGCTGGTGCGTGCGCGATAATTGGTTTATAACAGTCAGACTGGGAGATGGATGGCTCTGTGCGCTGTTTGTCAACGTCCCCAAAATCATCAACAAAGGAGGTCTTTTCTGTTAGTGATTGCCTTTGATTTAGCCACAAAAGAACTCTACAGAAAAAAAGGCGACATAAAAATGTCACAATAAACTTAACAGTTTAATATCAGAAAAGAAATTAGATGACACAAAGAAATTTCCCTCTTTTACCAGAGATAATTGCTCGTTTATCCTCTCCGTCTGACCTCTAAACTTTTATCCCTCTTCGTTCAAATATTGTTTATTTTATACAGATAACCTATCGTACATTTCTTCTATATATCTGCCAATGCATCTCTTCTTTAATTTTTAATTACATGTATTCAGCTTCATTGGCTTTCTAATACTTTTTTTTTTTTGCTATAACCTTTCTCTATCCGAGTGTTGCTTTCTTTCTTTTATCTTCTTTTATCGCTCCTTCGTCGGTCTTCCACGGTCTCCTCTCCCCCCGGCTAGCCCCAGGTTCTCTCCCCAACCAGACTGGCAGAACACAGCTGGAACCTCCGCCCACGCCTTCCTCTGCCGCCACGCCTCTACAACCCTACCCAGCTGCCCTCATTAACATATTTTCCTTTGCGCGGAAGGAGATCCCCGACACCGCTACAGTACGTATGCTTGCCATGACTGTGATCTCTGGAATCGTACCTACATAGATTTCAACACACGGCCCTTTCATCACCACTGGGCCACATACTGCAAATTACACTGATCGTTTTGGATAAATCGTTTTCACATTAGCTTGTGACAGCCGTAATATGTCACATCCCTAATCAGGCACAGTTATTATCAAAACAGATTGAACACATCGACAAGCAGAACAAAGCTGACCGATAAAAGGTCCCACCCAAGTAACACTCGCCCGAGCATCCTGTGTTGGTGCCCGACCCTCGCTGACCTGGATGGACGGAACAATCGAACAGTTACCAAACAAGGTAAAAGTTCGATGCGCCAAACTTTAGTTCAATTCCAGGCTCACGTATGCACGATAATCTACACTTCCTTTCTTTGAGAGAGAGAGAGAGAGAGAGAGAGAGAGAGAAAGAGAAAGAGAGAGAGAGAGAGAGAGAGAGAGAGAGAGAGAGAGAGAGAGAGAGAGAGAGAGAGAGAGAGAGAGAGAGAGAGAGAGAGAGAGAGAGAGAGGGAGAGAGAGAGAGAGAGAGAGAGAGAGAGAGAGAGAGAGAGAGAGAGAGAGAGAGAGAGAGAGAGAGAGAGAGAGAGAGAGAGAGAGAGAGAGAGAGAGAGAGAGAGAGAGAGAGAGAGAGAGAGAGAGAGAGAGAGAGAGAGAGAGAGAGAGAGAGAGAGAGAGAGAGAGAGAGAGAGAGAGAGAGAGAGAGAGAGAGAGAGAGGGAGAGAGAGAGAGCAAGCAAGAGAGAAAGAAAGGAAGAGAAAGAAAGAAAGAGAAAGAAAGAAAGAGAAAGAAAGAATGAAAGAGAAAGAAAGAGAAAGAAAGAAAGAGAAAGAAAGAAAGAAAGAAAGAAAGAGAAAGAAGAGGGGGATAATTAGGGATGTTTTATCAAGACTTCTAGAAAACAAAGAATAAGTGCAATTGTCCCCCACGTGAACGGGTATCACGTTCCCTTTATAAGGCAAATCAGGTTTGGCGGACAGAACCTGACCTCGTAAAACTCGCAAGTGCGAGTACGAGTTTCCACTCGGGCTCTACAACACCCAAGACTTTCTCTACTAATGCTTTGTATCCTAATATGCGTTAAACGAAACTATACAATACTCAACCACATCCATAAACATATAAAATGTATACAGCTTTACAGAAAGCACATGTGCCCCGGAGGTTAACGCAAAGTACAAAGCAAGCAGTGGGCGATCTGCGCGTGGCCAACAGCGGGCAATACCAGCCTAAAAGGATTTTCAAGTGTAAATGCATGAATGAGAAGGACCTCAATGAGAGCCTTCAGGGTCGGGTTCACGCCGTCTATGTGTGACTGTACTGTGCTCCATGGCTCTACGCACTAGTAAGCAGCCTAACACAACAACACGCGTAAAACTTCGGCACGTTTTGGTTTGGGTCTGAGCTGAAAAGAATGTACTTTTTGAAAAGGGAACTTCCCTGCGGGGTGAATTAACTGCGATGGAAATATTATCAAACGACTGTACTCTTACTCCGACGCCGTCCGGCCCATGAAACGCGCCCGGAGAGGTTAAGGGGTAAGCGCGTCACGGTGGGTGCGATGTTGTGAGTTGGAAGGTCTATGGATACGCATGGAGGAGGGCGGAGGAGGGCGGAGGCGGGATGCACAATACGGGTGAGAATTGGATGGGTGTGTGAAATGGGCGTACACTGAGAAGGCGTGACTTTGTGAGATAAGCGTGTGGAGAAGACAATGAGTGTTGGTAATGTGGGTGTCGTGGATGAGTGATTTCGCGATACATGAGCGTGGGCGTGTTGTGGCGAGTGTGAGGGTGAAAGTGCTTTGGGTGAGGAAAGGGTGAGAATATGAGGTTTAGAATGAAGGTACTGCGAGAGTGGCGAGCCTTCCCTGAGGCATGTGGTTAGCGCGGACAAAGATCCTTTGATGTTCGTATCATAACCTACTATTCTTGCTCTAGATTGCTGTTGCTAATGTGCGCGTTTGTGCTTACCGGATAATAAAAGATAGAGGAGAAAGAAAGTAAGGAAAGGGAGGGAGGGAGGAAGGGAGAACGGGATAAGGGAGGGAGGGAGAGAGCGGGATAAGTAAGGGAGGGAGGAAAGGTAAGAGAAAGAATAAATAAGGGAGGGAAGGTGGTTGGGAGAGAAAAAAGGGAGAGGGTAGATGAGGAGGGATGAAGAGAGATGGAGAGAAAGACAGACAAGGAATGAAATTGTAAGCGCCAGAGCCAGAAATGTAAAATCAGAAGGGACGTAGGCAGCAACAACGAGGCCGAGAGAGAAACCGGCCGAACCAGGGCCTCGCGAGCGATTTACCGCGGGTGGGGCTGCGGGCCGGGTCTCGGAATCACGACTGAGCCATTTCGGATTGGGTTACGTTCCCGCGCCCTGAATAAGTCAGGCTGGCTTCCTCGAGGGAACTCTTCTGTCGGGAATTCATAACTTCAGTGCACGAGATGGACCGGGCCGCTCGCGTGACGCAGTCCAGACGATCTAGACGTTCAAGTTGCTCCAAGCAGGAAAATCTGGGTTGAGGTTATCGGGACGTTCAAGGTGCTGCGTACATCGTCATGCCGATTTCTAGATACACGCTATTTGTCGCGATCGCAAGGATTCGCCATGCCGCCACGTCGCTTTCCTTAACTGTTAACCTTATCCGCATCATCTTTCAAAACAAACTGAAATCACTGTCAGTACAACAGGAGTTACTCAGACGACGTTAAAAGATATATCCACCTATGTCTTTACAGAAAATAAACAATTTATGATTCTGCCTACACCCTAAGGACCCTTATTTCTCAGCATCCCTCTCACGCCCTCACCCCCATCTCCCTGCTGACATCCGAGGATTCCCTGAGGCCGCTCGTCATTAGCAGGCTCCGTGACAGGGTAGCTGACAGGCTGACAGGCGGCGTGACGGGGACTCCCTGGGGTGAGCACGACAGGTCCTTAGCGGTGGTAATGATCTTCGTGTATGTTGCTCCTTCTTCTCCTCATGATTTGTTTAAACAGAATATTTTTCTGACTGCTAGAAAAATATTCGGTGACATTAAATGGAATGTTCATTCAACCTGTGCAAAAATTAATGGATGATGTCTTGAAAACTAACTCACGCCAGCTGTGCAGCATCAATACAGGAGCAGCCTATTTATCAAATCATACAAGACACAAAAGAGGATAATGGTATGCAAGGCTGTGACTACTCATCGTCTCGCCACACCAGAATTCTTCGTATGCATGCACTTGCTCGAGGCGAGTGCACGCAACTGAATAGACATAAACCAACGCATAAACACCATGCAATCGCACAAATATACACTTTATTCTGGCACACATAAAAGTCCCAAACGAGCACTGCACATAATAAGAAACCAATGACATATAATAATCATAAAAAAATAAAAACAGAGTCATGCGCATTTATTCCCCAAGTGTTACCAAATCAACACAGTTTATTGTCGCTCCGGGCCAGGTGGTGCAGTTTTGGTGGGAGAGACGGAGCACGTGGTAACATTAACGTCAAGGTTACCAAGCTACCCTCCCACTTGCAGCAACCAGTCTTTGGACATCGCTAATGCTATTCACACCCACACCAATATTTGTCCAGCACAAGAGGAGATAGGGGCGGGGGGAGGGAGGGAGGGAGGGAGGGAGGGAGGGAGGGAGGGAGGGAGGAAGGGAGGAGAGGAGAGAGAGAGAGAGAGAGAGAGAGAGAGAGAGAGAGAGAGAGAGAGAGAGAGAGAGAGAGAGAGAGAGAGAGAGAGAGAGGAGAGAGAGAAAGGAGAGAGAGAAAAGGAGTGAGAAAAAGAGAGAAAGGGAGAGAGAGGGAGAGAGGGAGGGAGGGAGGGAGGGAGAGAGGAGAGAGAGAGAGAGAGAGAGAGAGAGAGAGAGAGAGAGAGAGAGAGAGAGAGAGAGAGAG